CTTTTTTATTTTTTTTAAGAAAATATTTTGTGCTGTGGTAGTTCAAAACTAAAACCAATATTAAAAAGTAAACTTAAAATTTTTGTTCCCACCTATGTTCAGCAATCCCACTGACTGTCTCTTATGCACCCTTCCAAAGTCTGTTTTATGCAAAATGCAAGTTTCTTAGTTATCTAGTGCTGCTATAACAGAAATACCACAAGTAGGTGGCTTTAATAAATAAAAATTTATTCTTTCACAGTTTAGGAGGCTAGAAGTCTGAATTCAGGTTGCCAGCCCTAGGGAAAGGCTTTCTCTCTGTGGGCTCTGGAGGAAGGTCCTTGTCTCTTCTGAGCTCTTGCTCCTGGGTGATCTTCATGTGGCCTGGCATCTCTCTTCCCCCATCTCTGCTTACTCACTTACTTATTTAATCTCTTTTATACCTCAACAAAAAAGGTTGATTTAAGACACATCCTACCCTAATCCTGTCTCATTAATGTAACAAAGAAAACTCATTCCCAAATGGGATTACAACCACAGGTATAGATGTTAGGATTTACAACACATATTTGGGGGGGGATGACGACACCACACACACACACACACAATTCAATCCATAACAACAATAGCAATCCATAACAGCAACTACAAATGCCTGTTCTTTTTCTCTTTATTTCAATGGAGCATATTAAACATACAGTCTGCACTTTGCTTTTTTCAAGTAATATATCTGGGAGATGGTTCCACATCAACACAGAGAGAGCTTCCTTCCTTGTTGACAAGAGTGTCTCTAGCATTAGGCAGAATGTGCTCAAATAAGCAGAGAGCCTTCATTGGGCAGGGTAGAGAAGACAGGGCCAAGGAGGTAAGTTCCCGGCAATGAGAGTCCCAAGTAGCAGCAAGCAAGACTCCTTTTCCTCTTTCCTAACTGACTGCCCCGAGCTTTGCTCTCCTTGCCCACTGAGGAATGCCGTGGCCCTGGGCCCATGCCATTTATAGCCTGGACAGCTACCAGCTGGGTGATTCCTACCCTCTGAGGCTGCCTACTCCAGAAAAGGAGCCAGTCAAGAGGGAGGGCTGGAGGGAGGCAGATGGTCCCTGGGTTCCATAGAAAGACTGTGGCTCCAGAGGACAGCCCCACCCCTGCTCACCTCTTCACAGATACCCCCAAGAGGCCCTCCTCACAAGTCGATGTACACTCATTCCTGCAACTTCTGTATAGTGGGAAAACGGGTTCGGTTATGTTACCTTAATACAGTCCAGAGTTAGACACTGACTCAACTTGGCTTTGCTCTCATTCCTTTTCCTAAGCTGATGGTAAGGAAAGCTCTGTGTTGCCCTGTGTTTCAGGAGTCGTGCAGCATTTGCAGAATGGCCAGCTACTGAGGGACATTTACCTAAAGAAACATAAACTCCTGCCAAATGACTGGTCTACCGACCACCTTTACTTGGAGAGCACTGGGAAAAGCCGGACTCTACAAAGTGGGTTGGCCTTGCTTTATGGTTTCCTCTCAGATTTTGACTGGAAGAAGATTTATTTCAGGCACCAGCCAAGTGCTCTGTTCTGCTCTGGAAACTGCTTTTGCCCAGTGAGAAACCAGTATCTAGAAAAGGAGCAGCGTCGTCAATACCTCTTACGTTTGAAAAACAGCCAGCTGGAGAGGACCTATGGGGAGATGGCCAAGGTCGTTGATGTCCCCACCAAACAGCTCCGAGCCGCAAACCCCATAGACTCCATGCTCTGTTACTTCTGCCACAACGTCAGCTTTCCTTGCACCAGAAATGGCTGTATTGACATGGAACATTTCAAGGTGATCAAGACGCATCAGATAGAGGATGAGAGAGAGAGGCGGGAGAAAAAACTGTATCTTGGGTACGCGCTACTGGGTGCCCACCCTATCCTGAATGAAACCATCGGCCGGATGCAACGTGCTGCAGAAGGCAGGAAAGAAGAGATCTTCGCCCTCTATTCTGCCCATGATGTCACTCTGTCACCAGTTCTCAGTGCCTTGGGACTGACGGAAGCCAGGTTCCCAAGGTTCGCGGCCAGGTTGATCTTTGAGCTCTGGCAAGACAGAGAAAAGCCCAGTGAGCATTCTGTCCGGATCCTTTACAATGGTGTCGATGTCACATTCCACACCTCTTTTTGCCAGGAGCACCACAAGCATTCTCACAAACCTATGTGTCCCTTTGAAAACCTAGTCCGCTTTGTCAGAAGGGACATGTTTACGGTCCTGGGAAGCAGTAGCACTAATTATTATGATGCGTGTCACAGGGAAGGATTCTAAAAGGCACCCAAGTACAGAGCTTATAAAATGTGTACGGTACAGAAGAAAGGAGAAAGGTTTTCTTCTGGTTCTTTCCATAGCTAAGGGTACATGATAGTGATTTTTAAAGGCTAAACCTGTCTGGGAGCTTTATAGATGGTTTGGGTTGAAGAGTAAGTATGCTGCTATAATCTGGTACGTGAGTCACTTGGTACACAACTGCCAGTTCATAGAGAAAGGAAGGTCCTTCACTGTAGCCAGACTTTGCTTAGAAGGCCAGAAGAGTTTTTGATACCCAAAGATGCCAATCCAAATTTGTATTCTTTGGGCCTGCCATGGTGCGGTATGATGGAACCAGCAAACCTCAGCCAAAATTTCCTGAATCCTGGAAAGTCTTACCTTGTCCCTGTCCAACAAAAAATGTCCTGAAGTGATTTATCTAAAAGAGAGATTGGCAAACTTTTCCTGTAAAGAGCCAGATAGCAGATAGTCTCGCCTTTGCAGGCCAAGGGGCCACATACAGTCCGTCACAGCTATCTAACTCTGCTGTTGTAGTGCGTAGCAGCCATGAGTGATACATAAACACGTGAGCGTGGCTGTGTTCACAGATGGTGCAAAACAGGTGGCAGCAGATTTGGCCCCTTGGCTGTAGTTTGCCGACCCCTGATTTGAAGAAGTCTTCTACTACAGTGGCACTTTCAGCACTTTGCAGACTGATTGAATACCAAGAATTATCCATCAGTGATGCCTCCAGTAACGTCTGCTAGAAACACAGAATTTGGTCTGTCTCTGACAATGAAGCAAAACTTGAAGGTAAACATTGAGTCAGAATGAATCAGAGAAAAGCTATTAGAATAATACTTGATGTTCATGATGATTGTGGTACAAGGTACATGTGTTTTAAATAGCTGTCTGCTGTAGTCTATTTGCTGTATAGGCTGAAATTTTTGTATGCCACTTAGTATTTTTATAGTCTAGGAAAGTATTTTCTAAGACCAGTTTTAGATGTGCTCTTATTCATACAAGAAGATTTAATTTTCTGTGACTGCTTGGTGGTCAGAAGGGGGTTGAAGTGGAATTTAGGCACTTTCTCCCAATCAAACTAATTATGGCTCATTCCCTTTGACAAACTGTAGAATTTGGATCAATTTTTAAACCATTTTCGTCAGTTTCAAAATGTAAATTGATTGATTTTTAAGTAAGTTTTTGGAAGCGCTTTGTTACTAGATTGTTACATAAATCTTTATAAGGTATTTTATATTTTAGAAGCAATTACAATTAAATCTGTGATTTCGGAACTAACGGTGCTAGTTCTTTGTGAAGAAATGTAAGTGCAAGTGAGGTTCTCCAGTGTCATAGGCATTCCAGCCTTTTCTCTTTGTTTTGTTCAGTATTGTACTTGAATATGTGTTTGTATTAAAAAAAATTTTTTAGAATACTTGTGCTCTACATCTGGTGGTTTATAACTACAAATCACTCTAGTTCTTTTTAAACTTAATTGCTTCTTTTATTGCTGGAAATTGTGTGTTATCTCGCTAGTATTTTAAGCTCAGATGATTTTTTTTTTTTTGCTCCCACTCATCATATATCTGAATTAGACTACTAAACCCAGCTTAAGATTTCAAAATAAAAATGAATCAGAAGCTTTATTAAAAAATTAAATTGCAACACCTTATAAAAGTAAACATTTTGGTATGAGCCAACATTGAAGTGAAGATGTAGATTTTGCCTTCCACAACAGCGGATATGCATAGCATTATCATCCTCAAATTATGTTTCTAAGGTGCTTTATTCAGTAAATGAGCACTGAGCTGGAATTAATGGCACAGTCCTTGGTTTCTGAGCAATAGTCTAATAATTCATGATAAGTAGGTGTACACATGTACTTAGCTTTCCTGTTTTTCTATTGGAGATCCTCGATAGAGTGGGCGTAGTGCGTAAGGCATTTGACTGCTAACCAGAAGGCTGGAGGTTCAAACCCACCAGCCACTCCTCAGAAGGAAGGTTGGGCAATCTACTTCCGTAGAGATACCGCCTCGGAAACCCAAGGAGGAGTCGCTATGAGTCAAAGCTATTTGGTTTTCTTTTTTTCTATTACAATTAACATGTGCCTACTGGAAAATAATCAAATAATCTTGAAAAACAATGTGAAGTTCTCCTCTAACCCCACATCCAGGAATGACAGTGTGTGCAGTTTGACAAAAAATTTTCAAGGCAGATGCTGAAATGTACATAATTTTTAATAAGAACAAGACCATTTTTTGTATATTGTTCTGTGCTTGCTTCTCTTTACGATATCTTTTATCATTGACTTTAACAATATGTTTTTGAAGTATTTCTCAACAATTTGTTTCTCTTAACAGTATGTCTTCAAGATATTTCCATGTTGATATATATAGATGGCTCTTTTTTTAACTACATAATTATTTACAGTACTAAACAAAAACCAAACTCACTGCCATCAAGTCAGTTCTGACTCATAGTGACCCCTTTGGGTTTCTGAGGCAGTAAATCTTTATGGAAATAGACTGGCCAGTCTTCCTTCTGCGGAGTGGCTGGTGGGTTTGAACCGCCAACCTTCTGGGATAGCAGTCAAATGCCTTACCTACTATGCCACCAGAGCTCCTTAATTTACTGTATGGATGAGATATTTTTTAAGTCTTATTAAAAATGCATGGAATTGAAACTTAAAGCCAAGATGTTGTAGCAGGATGTCAAGATGTCTGAATTATACACAACAGATCAGACAGGCCAGTGGTTAGGTGTGTTGAGTTTGTAGCCCAATTGGGCAGTTAACCCTTTTTCAGTATAGTGTAGCTACAGGGCTGCTGCTGGTGGTGCTGGGTTTTTGTTTGTTTGTTTGTTTTAATTTTACTGTGATCTGGGTGAAAGTTTATAGAGCAAATTCATCTTACATACAGCAGTTCACATACACTTTGTCTCATGATATCGACTGTAATCTCCCACAATACAACAAACAGTTCTCCTCCCACTTCCTCCCCATAGCCACCTCTTCCCTATGTCCTTCCCTCCCATGCATTCCTGCCCCCTGAGCTGTCTCCCTGCGCATACAAAGCCCTTCTATTCTCCCATAATTGATCTCTCCAGGGAGTGTATCTATCCAATGTAAACTTTCTGCTCATATGGCTTGGCTAGAAGCCACAGAAGTGGGCTCAGTTTCAGACCTGAAGGGCAGCTAGGGGCCATAGTCTCAATGGTTCCACCAGGCTCTATCAATCAAACTAGCAAACCTGGTTCCCCACCCCACCTTTTTTTTTTAATGATTTTGACTTTTGTTCCATACTGTTCTCCCACTCTATCCAGGATCTCCTACATAGATCCCCCTTCCAAATGGTTGACAGTGGTAGCCAGGCACCATCTAGTTCTTCTAGTCTCATAGTCGTATAGGCTGAGGCTCTCATGGTGTACCAGTCCCTTGGACTAATTGTTTCCATGCATCTTTGGTTTTCTTCATTTTTCTTTGCTCTGGATGAGGAGAGACCCATCATTGCATCTAGATGGCTGCTTGCAAGCCTTTGAGATCCCAGTCACTACTTGCCAAAGTAGGATATGGAACAATGTTTTTGTGTAGTATGTTATGCTAATTGAGCTTGATGTCCCCTGCAACCATGGTCCCAAGCCCACAGGTCCAGCTACTTGCTCCCTCTGAGTAGCTGTCCGTGGCCAAGAAGTGACTACAACCTTATCCCTTGTTAGCTCTACTGCCAAAAAAAAAAAACCAAACCCACTGCTGTCGAGTTGGATCTGACTCATAGCAACCCCTCCTTGGGTTCTGAGGATGTATCACTACGGAAGTAGATTGCCCAGCCTTCCTTCCGAGGAGTGGGTTTGAACTGCCAGCCTTTTGTTTAGCAGTCAAATGCCGAAGGCACTATGCCACGAGAGCTCCTTAACTAGAAATTCTTATGGAACATACAAATACACTTGTAGAAACAGTGTCTGCCAACCCTGTACATGCTCATGGGCATACTCTCCCCTACAGAGACGTACCTAATTGTTCAGCCTATCCACCCATCTAGCCACCCGTAGATCAATGTTTATACAGGGCTTCTTTTAAATTATAAAAATAACTGAAAATCTAATATTGGTATGACATCTAATTAAGGGTCTTTGCAGCTACAGTAAGGTAAGACTTTCTGTTAATAATTAGTAGTTCTGCTGAAAATGGACCAGCCTATTCACCAGAGTGGTTGGTCAGGCCTTCCTGGGCTCTGAAGCCTGACTTCCAGCTGAGCCTGGCCTGGCTGAGGAAAAGGAGTCCCTGAAGGCCCAGCCCAGTTTCTTTTAGAGCTACTGAGCCCCTCAAAGAGGTTTGGCCTGAGGCCTGGCTTCTGGAAAACTCTTGTCTAAGTAAAGTAAAGGCTACCACTTTAGCATCCCTTCTTCCCTCCAGGGAAGAAGTTAGTCTTCACAGTCTTCTGAGGAAGTAAACTCAAATACAAATGAAGAAACAGGCTCAAGGGGATGAAGTCACTTTTCCAAAGGAAAAGGAAGAACCCAGAGTCTATCCCTAGTTTGCATTGACAACAGTGAACTTTTACAGAATAGTGTGAGACACCATGGAAAAGGCTTTTCCTACACTATTATATTTAATCCCCACAGCAGCTGTACAAGATACCGTATTTGCTAGTGAATAATACAAACAAACGTTTATGACACATCCTGTTTTACAAAGAATTTTGGGGAAACAGAATATAAGGGCTTTCATCATATCTTGAAAGTGATTCTGAAAATGATTCATAGAGAAAACTTTAGAATTTTTTTCATATAAACAATATATTCTTTGCTGGACTACAACAGGAAATTGTGAGTTTTTTATATGAATTTTGAAATATTCAACTGACCCTGAAAAAAAAAATGTGTGTGTGTATTCACATAACTAAAAGATACACATTGTGTCAGTGAGTACTAGAACATAGCAGATGAGTTTAAGTAGGGGAATGTTATTATTTTTTGCCACTAGGGGGCAGCATCCAATACAATTTTCAGCCTTCTGGGCGGTCTTCCATCTTGAAAGAAAAACCAAAACACAAACGCACTGTTGTAGAGTCGGATCCGACTCATAATGAATCCAATTCATAACGACCCCTCCTTGGGTTTCCAAGGCGGTATCACTACAGAAGTAGATTGCCCAACCTTCCTTCTGAGGAATGGCTAGTGGGTTTGAACCGCCAGCCTTCTGGTTAGCAGTCAAGTGTCTTAGGCACTATGCCACCGGAGCTCCCATCTGTAAAGAAAGTAGGGTAATTTTAATAGGGTGACAAGCTGCCCTGGTTTGCCTTGGACTAAGGATTTCCCAGGATATGAGACTTCCGGTACTAAAACTAGGACTGTCTCAGGCAAACCAGGACAAGTTGGTCACCCTAGTGTTGCATGTTGAGCCATCTGT